CAGGTATATATATATATATATATATATATATATATATATACCCTGTGTCGTTCAATTTCCAACCTCTCTGTCTGTTTTTCCTTTCTCTTCATGCTGAAGTACAGGAAGGATGAACGGTATGAGCGAGGTCGACATTGAAACACCGTGCAGGAGCTTCGAGCTTGTAATCTTCTCTTGCAGTTATCCTCATCATCGCAGTACCAGATGAAATTGAGACTGCCCTCTGCATCCCATATTCGATGTCGCATTTTTTGATTTTTAGCGGTTTCAACATTTCGACGTGTAAATGCGCTCGTCGACGATAATTGTTCATAGCACAATCTCATCCTTTAAAAACCAAGTGAGGAACTTCCGCTTTTACGAGCGTCTACATCTCTTTTGTTTTTGTGCTTGTTTACCTCAAGCAAAATCGAAGTGGTTTTCGATAATGTTGGCAGAAGAGAACTTTGCAAAACTTACATATAAAGGGCTTATTCTTGTGCATTTACACTAACTATAGACCTGGAACCTCATTCCACTGCATGCACGGCTACAGCACACAAAAATGCACTCGCATGTCCGCCTGGCCGGAGCCAGGTCAGCAACTTTTGTTTGCACACACGTGGAAATAGCTTCGTCAGGATTCTCGTTAAATTCAATTTAAAAATCACTGGCGGCGCGCACCGGCGGACCCGTGCGATCATGCGTTTTTGCAGTATTTCGTTCTGTAATGAGATCGCTCAGAAACCCAGTAGCTAGAAATGTGTGACATACTGTTCCTTGAAGTCCGAGAAGTTAATTGTCTATGCAGCAGTTGGAGAGGGAACACCCATTTAAAATTTCAGCTTCCCAGCTTTCCCGGTTCTCGAGTTAGCAATTCTTCCTACCAAAAATTTTCACAAGGCCACACGTGAGAACAACGCATGCCCGGGGGCTGGATTTGCTAACTTTAAGTTCTGTATGGGCTGGTAACATCCCCTTAAAATTTCAGACTCCCATTTTCCCTGGCTCCACAAATTAGCGATTTTCATGCCAGGAAACCTCACTAGGCCGTACGCGGGAACCACGCCTACCCGGGGGCTAAATTTGAAAACTTCGAGTTCCAGAAGGACGGGGGACATAAACCCATAATTTCAGGTTTCTAGCTTTTCTGATCCCTGAGTTAGCGATTTTTCCCCCAAAACTTTCACCCTCTCGTACGCGGGGCTCAGACTTGCGTGAGAGTTGGTGCCGCGGTCCTGGAATGACACTTGGACGGGAAACCCGTCGACAAAATTTTGGCGCCGGAGCTTGCTTAGGTGCCGAGTTCAAATGACCGGACAGACGCACATACACACACACACACACACACACACACACACACACACACACAC